ATAAAAACAATCCATTATTTATCCATGTATTCTTTTACACCTTGTGAGAACAAAAAAAAAAAATTCCAGGTCATACGCCTCATCAAACTGTTGACCTAAATGCGGGTCAGTACCAAGTCCAATATATTTGGCTTGAAATGTGAATCTTCTTTTCCTTGCTTAAATGTTAATAATTACTCTGCAGCTCCCTCTTCACAAACATGGTGCATCAACAATGCTAACTACCGTGCGAATACGATTACTACTGCGCACGTCAGTCTACCTACTCTCTTCTCCTCAGACTCCCTGTCCTCTTTGCCGTAGTGAACTGTTTCGCCTGCTGTAGGGGGTTAGCAATCCACAGTGGAGTTTCGATGTTGTCCTCCATTGAGTAACTCCTACAGAAACAAACCTGCCCTTTGCGGATACCAATTTCATCAGAGATCGCCAGGAACACACCTTCCTGTTCAACGTACAGTGCACATACATGTATATGGCAGGCTTGTGATATGAAACTGTGCAGTACTAATTTTCGTGGAAGTTTTGATACAAAGCGCTGAAAGAGCACATGCGCACTGCACAAAGAAGACAGAGAATACAGTGTATTTACATTTGTGGGTATTTTCAGTTTCAATTCGTCATTCTTGTACAACAGAATACCGCACACTTGATGGTACAGAGCACATGTACGTGAAAGGCCTTGCTTGTTTATTTTACACTTGTATTGTCACAAATGTAGGCAAATGATACTCAGTTTAATTTAAACAGGCATCAATTACAAAAACCACAGGGGGAAAAAAGAACAGAGAGGTCTGCCTCCTGGGTCCAAAAAAATAACAGCTCACATGTACAGTGAACTGTTCAAGACAATGTTTCCTTAAGATGATACATGTATTAGTACGTGTACTGGTACTTGCTAATCCCACAAGCTACATGTAAAGCAACTACATACATGAAATAGCTTTAAAAAAGTAGAGTGAATTACGTAAATGCAGGAGCAGGTGAAGAAGCATACCGGTATGTACATGTAACGGTACATGTGAACAAATAACTATTAAAACGTACACGTACATGCATGAGACCTGGGTGTAGTAACATGTACCGGTACATGTATGGTACGTTACGCTATCCGCCTTGAGTTGAAGTGCACCCTTACTGGTGAAAGAAAGACAGACTGGTGCAAAGTTTTCCAACTGGGTTCCTGCACATGTTCGGTGTACGCGTGAAGACCATGCCTTTCAGAATGGATTTGTTGTGCGTACTAAGCGTGCCCCACGTCAAACTTGCATAATCTTGCGCGCTTTTGCGGTGATTTCGTACCAAAGGACTATCAAATTTCGTGTAAAACCATGCCCTCTTTTGTTCTTACTCGGAGGTGGATGGGCATATCAAAAGTTAAACATTTTCATTAGCAGCGTTTGTAAAGCTTCATGTACATGTGCCCCAGGAAGTGCCCTTATCTACTGGCAGGTTGATTATGATGCAAAGTTCCAGCTGCCTATCAACACTACCATCGCACGACAAACTTACCTGTACATGTATATTCAAATTGAGAAGTCTGGTTCCCAAAACATTTTCATAGTCTACATTTATCCTCACAAAATCTTACATGTAGGTCGGGTACCAGTACATGTATATTAACCTACAACATCATGTTACCAGTCTGGGCAAAATTATGGCGGCAGTTTTCCAAACCCATTTAAATGATTTGTCAGATACAATTGTTGTGAACAAACTTTTATGAATATCTAAATTCTTGAAGACTACAGTGTCCATGTACATGTACTTTGACTCTGGCCATAAAGACAAATGTGTGATATAAAATTACAAACTCACAACCCCTTTCCAAGGCCCAACCTACATGTACATGTACTGTAATAATTGTATATTGTACCTTTCAATGCGTTTGTCATGCAAGTGCAGAATCACGGCCAACATTTTCTTGACACATGAGTGCATCTGGGTACATGTACATGTACCCAGAGCACAATGTATGCATTGTACTACAAGAACGCGGCAATCAATGGGCAGTAAACTCATGAAAGCTTTTACATGTACATAAGTCTAAGCTTAACTGAAATGGCTTCTCATCAACCTGCTTTATCCAAAACAGTCCAACAGTTATCACTGGTAATTTTCACGATGCATGGTTTTTATGATTACTTTATACCGTACATGTAGGGTTCGCATGTACATGTACTTCTCACCTTGTCACTTTGGTCTGCTACACAGTAATGAATAGATCTTATTCACAGGGGACCCAATTTCAGTCAGATTCCCCAATGTAGTGTTTATTTATTTCAAAATGTTAAATTTAAACAAGTAGACTATTCTATGATATCATTCCAACCTCCTAAATCACCTGGTACCATCTCATTATTAAGGGTTTCAAATGTATACAATACATTCAGGAATAGGACTGAAATTGGGTATAATACTGCCTATTGCGGATG